GCGAGTGGCTCGTCAGTCGGTGGGGGTCCGCCAGGTGACGAGCATGCCTGAGGGAGTCTCGGAGAGACCAAGCGTTGTGAACAAGGTAATCCAGACTTCTCATTCCTAGTCTCCCCATCAACCCAAAGGTCCCCCAGACCAGAACTGGGCTCATCCCTATCAGCTACACGATCCGTTCCCTAAACAGCCTGGGCCGGTCTCGCTGTAGTTGAACACCATCATCAGTAAGCCCTGTTTTCCTGTTCCGCAGGAGCGACGGCCGGAGTCTGCTGCCCGCCGTGGCGGCGGCAGCAGCAGCAGGCGCCTCCGGCGAGCCTCCGGTGGCCAGGGCCGACGGCGGCTCCGCCTCGGCGCGCACGACAATGTCAGCCTAATGGTGGTTGGGGTAAGTTTGCTAAACAAATTACAGCCGCGCGTCTCCACGCCCCCCTCCCCTCCCATTTCCTGCCCCCGCGGCCCCGGCCGGGTCCCCGCGCAGCCAGTAGTGCCTGTTGCGGTGCGGGGCGCCCGCGGCGTCCTCCCTCTGTGGCGACGCTGGCGCCGCCTGGCGGGCTGGAGCAGCGAGCGCCGCGCCGCGCTGGGGGTAGTGCCGACGCCGCAGTACACGGGAGCACCCCCGCCGCGGTGAAGGGGTAGCGGCGGCGGCGTGGGGTAGTGCGGCAGGCACACGGAGTGTGGCAGGCGTCGCCGCTACCCCAACGTCGGCGGGCGTCCCGCGTGGGGTAGCGACGCCGACCGCCAGGAGGGAGAGCCACGGAAAAGCGCCCCGCGGCCGGTCGCCGGCAAGACACCGTGCCGCACCATACCGCGCGCGTACTGCGCGCACTGCGTGCGCTCGTGCAGTGACTCTGCTCAACAAGACAGTGCCCACCCCACTGTTAAAAATCTCCTACCCCTCTCATATCATGATGGTCCGCTATGCAGCAACCTGCACATCGGACTTTCATTGGCCAACAACTGTCTGGTTACGTAACAGGCCGTACTTTGCGGAAAAATGACAATGCACATGCACGTGCCTTTCTGGTATTGAAAGTTACGTTCCAGTTTCGGAAAGCATTCAACGCCATTTTGTTCCAGAGTTTAACACAAACTCTCCATGCCCAGGAATGGAGATCCGACATGAGACCGGAGGCTCGAGAAACGAGACGAGAGGTTGCGATATCTCGTGACGTCGCAAGGTCAGTCTCCGTCAAGTAGGATCGGAGAGCTGGCGGGGATCTCGGTTTCGGCCTATCAGTTAATTGGAATCAGAGCCGGACTCAGGTTGGGGTCATCCAGTAACAGTCGATGACATCGAAAATATGTGGGTGGTGCGTCCTGTCAGAGAGAGAAGTTTGCGATCCTTTAGGAATTTCTTTCTCGTACCATGCCATGGTCAGAGTAAGTAGGCAAACCAGCAGCACTGTGATCTGAATTTGAGTAAAGTGCTTTCCCTCGTAATGTAGCGAACCACCTGTGTTTCTGCGATATTTTTGGATGCCAATGCCAAAAATGCTTGGAATTCGCCTCGACCAGACGACCAGAGCTGGGTGAGTCCATGGACCGTGTGAACCGGAGGGTGGGATACAGTGAGAGGGTGAAGAGTGAAGCCTCTCGGCTCGGGCCGCGGGTGGGCCGCGCCAGCTCATAGTCGGACAACGGCTCCTTCGCGGACGCGAACAAGCAGCCTGTTGCATTCGCGACCCCGCGTCTCGCCTCACGAAGGGGGAAGGGGTGTGGCCCGCGACCAAAATAACCGCGCTGTCCTCCAGAGGCGCACTACTGACTGGTGGCGCACCTGAGGAGGTGCTTGCGAGGGGCACACTAAAAGGGACGGTGCGCGCACGAAGGGCACGGCGGCGCTGCAGCTGGTCTGAGCGAGGACGGCCAGGGTGTAACACCAATAACTTCCTCGGGGATGTCGGCCTGTGTCGGACTCTCTCAGGCTATTTGCATTTCCTCCACCCGGGCCCGACAGACCGCCCTTTCCGCTGTTCTGGTGTGACTCCCCGAGCCAGCCCCGACCCCGGCCTGGCCAGCACACTCGGCAAAGTTCCGTAAGTAAATATTCCACCTCCTTTGGCGCACGCTCCGTTTGCCCAACGATTGCCCCTTTCCTTTCCCCCTGCTTTTCTCTCTCCCTCGTCCTGTCCGCGGCTCGTCGTCTCGCTGCCGCCGCCATGCTCTGTGTGTCTGATTGCGTCACCTCCTGCACGGTCCAGCGCGGACACAGCATCCCCAACGGCGGCTGGACCGGACCGGGCGTAGGATCTGGACCTGGACCCGCCGTCTCCGCGACCCTTTTCCTCCGCCTCCCGCCCGAGGGTAGATGCCAGAGGCTGCCGCCCCGCCCCGCCACTCCGGGGGCCGCTCAAAGCAGCACCAGCGGCCAGGAGGCAGCATCGGGATTTCAGTCCAGCTCAAGTCCTTTTGAAAAGACGTCGCCCTCCCCGTCCTCCACCCCGCTGCGCGTGCTGGCGTGCGGGGTGAGTCCGGCCAGGCTCTAACCCGCCCCTGCCCGGCCCAACCCTCCGCCGGCCGGTGCGCTGCGCTTATTGGTCGTCTCGGGAGCAGCGGGGGGAGGGGGCAGCGCAGGTACGGGGCGGGTTATGGAGCAGGGGACGTCAATGGTGGCTCTGTGTTTGTGTGTGTGAGTGCGAGGGAGAACGAGTGAGTGATTCTGAGTGAAAGAGAGAGAGACAGATGGGGTAGAGCTGCTGCTCACATCTCAGCCCAGTCGCCAGCCATGCCCTTTGAGTCTGGGGCTAGGCCCGATGCCGGTGCTGTCCCTCATCTCCCCCCACCCCGCCCTGCTTCCCTTCCGATTCAAACCCCGCAGTGCGATTGCGGCCCGCTGGGCCCTGCGGGGGGCTGGGGCTGCGGGGCTCGCCGCAGGGCCGCAGGGCGCCGCCCTCCTGCTGGTGGACCTGCCCGGCTGCTGCAGGGTCCCGTCCGTGTGAGCGCCCCAGATGTTGCGCCTCCCTGCCCGGCCTGTCCCCTCGGCCCTGCTCGGGGTCCCTTCCCTTTTGGTCCCTTTGCGTCCCCGCCCCGCCCCGCCGCTCCCTTCCCTCCCCGGCCCGCCCGGTCCAGGACCCTTGTGTCGGAGCGCTGCCGCCCCCGCTCGCCCACCCCTGCTCTCGGCAGCAGTCCCAGTTAGGGATCGCTGCGTGGAGAGGCTGGGGCCGGGCGCGGCGGGGCGGGGGGAGGTCGCAGCGTCAATTAGGGAAAGGGGCGGCGCGGCGCGGCTCGAGGCGGGGCGGCTGGGGGAGCGCCGCCCTATTGTGACTACGCCCGACCGCTTACCACCCCGCCCCGCCACTGCCCCGCCGCGCCCCGCCGCGCCCTGCTCTGCTCCACCCCGAGGCCACTCGCTCAACACAATGATCAGCCCCCCGTGCTCGCCTCGCAGCTCCTGTCGCTGAGCACAGCAGCCACCAGCAGCGGCAGCGGGGTTGTCGGCGTCCTTTGCAGAACCATCGACGCCGTTCCCCCTCGCCGAGAAACTTGACGTCGAGTGAGCCTGCTGCTGCTGCGGGGCGGGAGGTCGGCGCAGCCTGCCGCAGCCCGTCCAGGCCCCGCGGCAGCGAGAGCGCAGCACACCGCGGTGGTGTCGGTGGCCCGCGGGGAGAGCGGCGCCCGCCCCGCCCCTTTGGGGAAACCTTTTCGGGGTCCCAAGGGAGCCACCAGCGCGCGCCAGCCGCGGCCACCACCGCCGCCGCCGCCCCGGCCCGCACTGCTGGGGGAGTGGGGCTGGGCCCAGAGGGGCCGTTCGCCGCTGTAGTGTTAATTAGCGTTCATAACGACCGGGGCCGGGGCGGCGCGGCCCCTCCGCCGGCGGGCTTGGCGCGGGACCAGCAGGGGCGCGTGGCGCCCGCCCTGACGGGGCCCGGGCGAGCAGCAGGCGGCCGCGCGGCGGGGCCTTTGTTGGAGCCAGGAGCTGCAGCACCAGCCTGGCCCGGACTCACCCACCGCCTCACCTCGATCCTCCAACCCGCCTCGCCGCGCCTCGCTCGACCTCGTTACGTACTCTCTTACCGCGTCACACACCGCAAAACGTGTCGAAGCGAGAGAACGCGCGATTTTTCAGGATAAAACGCCAACAAAAGTTTCTGCCCGAACGGGTGGGTGGTGCTGTGTCGTATGACTTGGCGACAATCCGATCCTCCGATCCTCAGCCCTTCACATTACCAGCTTGAAGCGGGCGAATCCCGGCCGTTTGATCGTCGTTGCCACCCGGCCCGGTGAGCGGCGGCACCTCGTTGGATACCCGCCGTGCAGAGGAGGGCAGAAAGGGCTGCGAGGTGCGGGGCGGGGGCTGTGCGCCCTGCAGGGGCTGTGCTATCAGTCAGCAAAGCCCCCTCCCCTTCCCCGCTGGATTACGTCGCCCTCGCGCCGGCC